GCCATGCAATTGTTTCTGCACTGGTGCTTGAGTCGTGCCAACACAGGGGTGTTTATTGTTTCGATGCTGTGCCAAAGCACCGTTGCTTGTTGAATCGTTTCAAATGCCACCGCGACGACCACAACAACGACAAAGACCACAGCAGAAACGACGGCAACACAGGCAAGAACAAGCAAAGTCCTTCCGCTATCTTATGTGTTAAATCAAGTTCCTCTTTGCATTCCGATTTGTCAAAGCAAATCATTACCCCATGTTGACTGTTGCCAATGTTGGGCGTTCAAATCCCAGGGATGTGAGGCTGTCTCAATTGGTCAAAGCCAATGTCCTTCTCTCACCAAATTCGATCAGTTGGGCGGCGCATTCCAAGGGACAAGAAGGATGTGGAACCTGTGAAATGCGACGGGATCCTTGGTTCAACATAGCGGTTCGGAGCAGGATGGAACTCAAGGAATTCCAGGTTGTTGTTGTAGCCATTTGTCGTTTTTTCTCTTCAACATGACATGCAATAATAGCTGGAATCACCCGTTCTGGATGCCCCTACCCTACCAAAAGGCCTATAATAGGCCTCTGAGTAGGCGAACTTTGGTGGGGCCGAAAGCCACCCACCCTGGCTCCACGGGGGGACTGAGAGGGACTGAGAGGTGCGTCCGACTTCGCGTCGTGGATGGGAAGAGGATTGCGAGATAGGTGATGTTTTCCATAAAGCTGAGATTTTAGCAGAGTATATTGGGTAGATTTAGTTTTGACTTTGTTGTTGTTAACGTCGTTGTTGTTGTTGTTGTTGTAACCATTGTTTTCACCGTACCCAGTCTTTCCTATTCTTGGAGAAACATCATCAACTCCACGACACGTTCCTCAACTGAGTGGCGTCGTCCTCAGACGGCCGAGCCCGCACCGGACTCAGGAAGACGTTGATCACCAAGGCCCGCAACGACCTGCCGGATGACTTCGCCAAGAAAGCCATGGAGGCGGGAGGTCGTTGGTTGTTTGATGGAGGAAGTCAGGTAGGTACTGCATCCTTGCTACTAGTAGCGATGCCCTTTGCTCCTGGTCCTAGTAGCGTCCTTGCTCCCAGTAGTAAGGCCAGGAGCCCCTAGTAGCTTCTTGTTCCTAGTAGCTTCCTTGTCCGATTTGGGATGCCCATGTTTGGGTTGCCCAAAAAGGCTGTTGACGACCTTGTGTGGACTTGTCGTATTTGTTCACACTTAGTTTCATGCTGGCAGCCAGGGGTTTCTCACTCACGAAGGACAGCATGCATATTGAATCAAGGCTTTATATCAGAGGGTTCCTTTGCGACACGTGATGGCCTATGTGTTTTGCCTTTAGGAATTGAACTCACCTGAAAATTGGATAAACTTGGTGTGTTGAAGCGCTTCGCTACCAAAATAGGCAACCTCCGTGTTGTTGGCGCGTTGGGCGCCGAAATTGTGTGGTGGGCCATTCGAGCCATTTTAAAATGACGGTGTTGCATGCGTTTGCACAAAAGAGGATCGAAAGAGACCAAGGCTCATCATCGGGGCTCGTTGTATTTTGAGCGGGGCTGATCGTTTTCTTACCTTTGATTTGTCTATTTTGCGGGGTCAACACGCGCGGATTTCTCGAGCTATGTAGCCAGCGCGCAAAAAGTTATAGCATTGCGCACTTTGAAACTGGGAACTTGCAAACCTTCTCTATAGCAAATCTGACTCCATCTACGGAAATCTACCCGAAATGTTCGTCAGAACAAGATTGTTCGACATTTTGTTGGATCAGACTGGCGTCTAGCAATTTTCCCATGTTTGGGAGTTTGAACAACATGATCAGTGATTCTGCACCCTAGGCTTTCAATCACTGTATGTGATGAAATGTCTCAAGTATTTCGAGGCCGTGAAACCCTAACAAACCCCAAAGACTTGAGAAACTTGGTGAATTATTTGACATGAATCAAGATACATTTGGCGCAGATGCAGTGACTTTGCGCCTACCCCAGTGAGTAGATTTGAACGGCAAAGGCGGACCTGTGGATCGAAATCGGAATGGGTTGCGTTTGTCGTTTCTTTGAGACCTTTGTGTATCACGAACCAAAACAACACCTTTTATGGCATCCCTTGCCAAGCCAAATTTCAAGTGATCCTGATCCAAAACTAGAGTCAAACATGCATTTCCAACGTATGTACAATATACATCAATATATTATACACATGTTATGGACATATAAATAACAAATACGTAGTTTTTGGATGTCATCGTCATTCGTCTTGATGTTGATATATCATAGACATTTGAACTCATCAACCATGTGACAAAAAAAATATATGCATATTCACTGTGACCGCGTGTGCTTCACCATCCCTGCTGCCGGAGGAAGCCTTGGGACGCACCACTCTCTTGTTGATGCAGGACATCCTCATGGCCTGAACACCGAAAAGGATCTGAGCGGTTTCAACGGAGGTCTGATGTTTCGCGAAAAGACTGCGAGAGGCAAGAGAAAGGGTAAGTCGATGACCTGGCAGAGACGTTGAGACGGACTTTCAAGGGGACTAAGATGCGAAAGGGACCTTCGAGGTTTGCACTTGGAACCTCCTGGCGTGCAGAGCTTGTGTTATGAGTTCAACAGGTCATGAAGTGCCTGAAGGCAGGTCATGAAGTGCTGTATGTTGTTTGTTTGTTTGTTTGTTTGTCGTCTTTTTGGCACAACTGCGCTGCCCTGCGCGGACGGGGAGTTCTCATCGACCTGTCGCTCTCCCCCCCTGCGACGTCCGCGAAAGTTGGACTTGAGGGTGGGAGATCGGCCGTTCGGCTGATGTTCGCATGAGTCATTCTGGTCGGTTGCTACCGACCCAGCAACCCAGGTCCACGGTCCTTAAGGCCTAGAATTGGCAACTTCGAAGATACTGGTGATGTGTTCGGAGAGCATTTGTTTGGCGGCTTGAAACAATTGGTGTGTTGGAATCATGCTGGTTTAAAGAACAAAACAACAAACAGACGTCTTAGTGAATTTGTGACTTGAAGCTCGCATGTCTCTCCTATCATCGATCAATTAATATAACCTATGCATGGTACAATATGGAATCCGAATCCAGATGAGCCTATTTTAAGTGATCATATTGCATGTCCATAGTATACAATATGACACTTGCTGGAAGCACCCATCCATTCCTTGTGATTCAGCAGTGGCAGCATCGCTGTAGGCTCTTTGTTTCAACAGACAGGAACATCCCCAGCCACACCTGTAGAATCCCCCCAGACAAGCTTTTAAACCCTAAAAGCAGTGATACCAAACACTTTCTCAAGCACCCGGCAAACTCACCCATGTGAACATGGTCATGCGGCCGCTGATGACATCGGCAAAAAGGACGTCCTCTGGCCGCACGCCGCCGCGCGCGTGACATTGGGTGTGACATCGAGATGTGTTCCACAACAGTCCCTGTTCACAACAGTCCCTGTGTTCCACAATTGACGTGGGACTCGGTGGTACATTTGTTTATTTTCCTGTTCAAGCCGTTGGTCCATGGGTTCCACACAGATCTGTCTTGGTTGGTGAAGAGGACGCGCCGGAATGCCGTGCCGCAGGTGCCGTGCGCACGGCACCTTCGGCACGGTGCCGGGAGCACAGGTGTCCGGTCTGATGGGGATAATTCCAAGAGCATGATGGCCCAACTCCTCACTTCGCAGGAACAATCAGGGGATTGTACCAAAATATCCAAGGACCCCAAACCATGGATGGTTTTATTCCTATAGACCAGCCATGGCAGACAGACCTTGGACGCATCGATCATCATCGATCGATGTTAAAATGCTTGGTGTCAAACAATTTGCGGACCTCCTTTGCAGCAGACACTGTGGGAATACGGATCAGTGTTTTCACTGACTGAATGACTGCTTAGTTACTTCAGCTTAGTGGTGTGTTGGGGTGCATTGATAAAATCCATCTCTCTCTCTCTACATCAACAATATTACGTGTATATATGCCCACTATATAATATACACTATAAATTGTACGGTACAATTCAGAATACCCAACATGTTTATTTATTTGCGCAGGTTCTCACCTTCCACTATCATGTTCTTCCATGCACCCGATAGTTCGTCACCCGCTCGCTTTCCCCGCCGGATCAAGCTCGAGTCTGTGCGAAATACGCTCAGCTGACCCCGTGAACCTTGCTGCTCCTGTTTGCGCCATGGGTTCAGGTGCCTCCACTCCTGCGGATGTTGTCAAGGAAGCAGGCCCGGCATGGTGACATGTGCAGACTCTAGGGTGTATAGATATTTTTTGGGGGGGATTCAGCCAAAGTGGAGGTATGAATGAACGTGACATTTGCAGGTGTGGACGGACTACTGCTTCCCAGAGGATCCCAAACATACGTTGAGAAGGTGATCGCAATGTGAATCACATGCTGGACAACTCCAAACGTGTTGCATACCCCGCGACCATGCTGATGAAAAGGAACGGTTTTAACGCACACAACCCTGTCACTCTGCCCACCGCCTTGCCTGAAAACAGCCATCAAGGTATCATGAACATACAATTGTAGGACCAAATTTGTTGACAAATTGGTTTTAGAGCTGTCTCCAGGCTCAATCTTCCAACTCCCAAGCCTTTTCAACTTTGCCCCAGGTAGGTAGCACAAGATATGCTGTACAATCCCCACTGCACATTGTTTGATTCTAATTATCGATCATCCACTCCACTCGATTCGCTGTCACCATCAGCCAGATTGTGGTGGCCATTTTGCCTGCAGCACACCACATGCAGCACAGCAAGACTGTGTGCATATGGTTTTGCCAATGAATCCCAGCAAAAGAACTATAAATCTTTGCCATATTCAAAACAAAGTTGCCCAACAAAGAAACGCTTGAGTGCCACAAACTCTAGGTTTGTATTGGAGCCAGCACTGCATATATTTGCAACCTTGCCAATGAAGTCTTCCGGGTGATACCCCTGATAAAATCGATGGTTGATACCTTGACCACCACTAGCAAAGGCACACGACAAACAATACATTAACACAGTTTACAACTTAAGAATAAAAAGCTTGTCTCTTGTCAGCATAGTTACCATCCTCTTTTTGACTCTGAGCTATCTCTTGGAATGCCTTACATGGCACAGGTGATTGACTTCTTTCCCTTGAGAAGATGGGTTGAATGTGTCAGGGAGCTTGATTCGTAAGAACCCAAAATTATTGAAATGAAAGCTAGCCACATGTAGCTTGGGTCGGATGGGAAACAAGAGTTCACCAGCATTCACGGCCATATGGCTGAGGACCAAGTAGTGTGTCAAACAACCATCACATTCCCGTTGCAGATCCATAGCATCCTCTGGACTGAGGTACCTTCCCAGCAACTCTGTCTTCCGATGCCATTCAGCCAGGTGGAACCTAGGATCACAAAGTTTTGCACGATAAATGGTAAATCTTCTACTTTTAAGGACGAACACAAACCCCGTTTCAGCTTCTATAGTTTTAGAAACGCTTTGAGTGAAGTCACGTACATGATGCAAGAAGGGGCATCCACCTGTCGTGCACATATTGGCCACCATTGGCCAGCAGAACCACTTCATGGCAAAGCCAGGCCAACACACAGCGAGCCTCAGCTGGCACACAGCCCGTTCAATACTACTGTATATTGATTTAGGCAACCAGCTCTAGCCATGGATGCACCTGCCATGGTGTTGGCAGAGGCCAGGGATCAGTCATTGACGGGTCAACAGGTGATGTTTGGGCCCCACCAATGAATTTACTGTAAATACTATGAACAGCCTAGTCACATTGTAGGCCTTGCTCTGCAATTCAGGCCAGGGGTGGTTTCGTGATCTCAGGCGCCAAGGTCGAAACTTAGGCATTGAATGCCTCAGATGTGGATCTAATGCAGCACAAACCCATGAACTGGCTTCTAATCAACAGATATTGATTTTAGTGGTGCCGGATGAAAGTCATGTTGAACAGGCTTAAGCACACAATTCGGTTTGCCCGAGTCCACTCCCTGAACCTTCCATAAGCAATCATAAGCCGATCTGATTCCTCCAGAGCAAGGCTTCCAAAAAGCTCGACTTCATACTCCATGACCTTGCGGATAACACTTGCACATACCCATAAGTCAACCCCCAGGTTGACAATGTGCATCCCATCCCAGCGGATGCACTGTACTCTGAACGAAGGCAACTGAAGCAAAGGACCTTCACCGCATTCTTCTGACAACAAATTGTCGACCCCCCCTACATGTATATATATATAATTTTGAGGAAAGAACAAAACATGCTACCATTAAACTCGGCAAAGGGTCTCTGTCGGTCACCATGTTTGCAACACTCGTTGAGAAAGCTTTCCGTGTTGTGGCGGAATTCATCATCAAGCTTCGAAGGGGCTTTCACCAAGTTGGGTTTCATGGCCCTGCAATGGTGGCAAATGCTAGTGCACAAGTAGTGGCAGGTCAATTGTAGCCATTCCTGATATTGGTCATAAACCTGTTAAGTAAAAGTCGCTCCTATTTGCATGAAGAGAAGAAAAAGGAACAGGGCCATAGATTTGAGGAACTCACCACCAAAGGGAAACTTTGATAATATGTATTAAAGCTTCTTGTTGCCATTTCCAATCTCCTCTGAGATCACAAACAGCGTACTGCATGCACTCACCGCCAGGCATCACGATGCCTTCATTGAACAAGTTCGTCAAGGACTGAACTACCTTGGGCGGCCAGTGGCTCAAGGATAGTGCCTGGAAGTTGGGTTAAATCTCAATAATATTTACATTTTGGGTATAATATAACCTGAAGGCTGGTTGATGCAATGCAAGTTGCAGGCTCCAAAATCGCACGGACTGTTGGAAACCCAGCTTTCAGTTCCTGATTTGGGCCAGTATTCAAAAACATATCACTATGATACGTATACTATAAACGACCAGTAGACAAAAACATGCAATCCAGTCCAGTTTCAGAACGTGTGATGCTCAGGGGATAGCATGCTTCAATGCTGTGCTTTCTATGGTCCAGGATACCTCCCATAGCAATAAGCATCACCTCCTCACCGCTTTCCCTATATTGACATTCATCTCCCCATAGCCAAAGAGGGTAATGCCCCTTGCCAGGGCTGATCTCTGCAAGCGGGCTGTTGACACCTGAAAGATGGTCCCAAAATTCTTTGATCTTGGACTTTGGAATGGAAGGTAGGATGGGCACAATGTTCTCAGGCAGAACAATGGGGAGCCTCCTGCGGTCAAGCTTCCAACCCCTTGGAGAAACCTTTGAACACAGTGCGAGTACTGGTTTATAGCTATGAGGCTATGATTTGCTGAACACATGTAACAAAAACCAGACCCTGTCCTGCTTTCCACTCCGTTGGGCCCCCCTTTGCTTTTGAACTGGTACATCAATCCAATCTATTTTCACCTGTCACATGTGCAGCACAATCCAACCTAATTTCAAGCGTTTTGCTTGGTTTTGTCAAGATGGGGCCTGTTCCGGGTCGTTTTTGACAATCTTCCGCATGATGTCCCGCTGACAGTTGGAAGAAAACTTCCCACGGCACCCAGCTGATGTCAGATCAGCACATGGTCCTTGTAGCTGGACTCCATGACGCTTGAACTCCTGCCCAAGCAAAGGCACAAACAAATTTGCAAATATGATAGGCCTGCCGTTTTCCGGGTTTGATGGGGCCTATGTGTTGCAGTAGATCTGGTCAAGCTTCAGCACCCCGCTCCTTGTCCACATAGTGCATCAAAGTTTGTGTTTTTGTGAACGAGGTTTCCTTAGTAACAAGTGTCCCACACCAGAACTAAACATAAATGACATGTTCTGGACAACCATGTTGTCATAAAACTAGCTATATAGTTCTAAAATTGTCATAGATAAAGTCTTTCACTTTTGGACCATGCACTAGCCAGCATTGAACGTTTAAGCCAAGCTTCGCCAAGACCAGCCTGTTTGAGAAGGAAGTTGTACAGTGGTGACTTCTTGTCCTTTTTCCGAACAGCACCTGCGCAAGGGAAATCAGATGTTGAATCATGTACTATAGCTATATAGTTACAGGGCACTAGGTACTGGCAGTTGCAAATATTCATCACTGCCTGACTCAACATTTGTCAAAACATAATCGAACCCAGTTTGCACCAACTCCAAACATGATATGATGACAAAGTGTTCAGTCCCACATGCATGAGGGCCACTGAAAGCCTTTTGTTTCTTTGTCCGCAGCTTAGCGACAGTGATTTCAACTCAAAAGCTTCGCATGACTGCAGCAGTGCACTGCCCAATCCCAAGAATATTCACACATACAGTGTACTAGTACTGTAGTAGAAACAAACAACAAGGTCCAAAATCAGTTGCACTGGCTGCTGGCTAAGGATTTCCCTGGCCCAACCTATCCCTCTTTGAATCACTGAGACTCACTATGGAGCAGGAGCTGGTTCTTGCGGATCAGCTGGTTTTGGATCGGCACGCGGCTTGGCTTTTGCTTTGGTTTTCGGCGGTTCCTGGGCTGTCAAAAGAATTGGCACACTAGGGCCTGGTATCTCCACAATGGGATGGATGGATCCAGAAATCACAAACTCAAAGTATGAACAGGCGATAAGAATGTGATCTCATGTTCCCATGGCTAATAACAGTAATAGATTTCTGGAAAGTCTCGAGCACACCCTTGATTGATCGAAGGGTTCCACCATAGCTGGTGAACGCTGAATCACAACTGCGGAGAGCCTTCATACAGTCCTCTTTGAACCTGTGGTTGTCCGGAAGATCAATTTTCGAGTCCTCAACACGCTGGGCATACAACCCCTCCAGCTCAAGACGGGCATTTTTAAGTGCCTCCGACCGCCCCTCCAACTCCTTCCTGAAGCCATTGATCAAACCCATGCTCCTGAGCTGCGCAGGAGCACTTTTTTTGGATTGGAAAAAATTCTACCCTATGGGGTTTATGGGAAGGGCACTTGTGGCCACCATTGTTTAGGGGCTCAATAAGTTTCTACCAACACAGCTCCCTGTGCCAACCTGTTAACTGGCAGTTATATGTTTTTTTTTTGTACTAGGTAGGTTTGTGGACCCATACTGCAGGCTGGCACAGTATCAAAATCTAAACCCATGGTATATGGCTTAATGCGGGGTCCAATGCCAAAAGAAGAGGATGGTAAACCTTCAAGTGGTTGAGGCCAGCTATAAACAAAAAAAACATGTTTGATCGTACTAGCATCAGACCTACCTTGTTATCATCTAGCTTTGCTTGCCATGCCAAGACTTCCGTCATCTTAGAACTGCAGGCTGATATGCTGGCCGAAAGCCTCCTACTCATTGGCTTTTGCTTCTTTCCCTTCTCTTCAGGAGTGTCTCTATTGCCAGCTGGCTCAGTCACAACCCTACCATCCAAGGAGAACCTCATCCTGTCCATTTGCGAGCCCATCTGATCTTGCCTGAGGAGCGGGGATTCTGGCACGGAGCAGGGGAGGTGCAAACAGGGTGATGGTGTTGGAATAGCTATACATAGGTCTAGATATTCTAAAAAGCATGTTCATCAAGGTGCAGAATTGCCCTTGAAGCAGTCTCATCAAACGCACCGGATGCGGTCAAACCCACAGAGAGGGTATCATCCTGCTGGTCTTCATACTCCATTGAATCCCACACACGGAGCAGGTTCCAGTCCTGGGCTAGGGTGGGTTCTTTCTAATATGTTTGCAGGTGTATTCATTTATGGCATGTAATATAATCAATGCAAATGAGACTCTTCATTCCCCTTTGCTTCTGGGTGAGGCATGAAGTATATGGTGGAATCATTGGCCTTCTTGTCTTTCTCTTGGGCTTGCTTCTCTTGAAGGATTTGGGAGGCAATGGCCAGCCCAAACTTTTGCTTGACATCTCGGTATGGCATCATGACGTGTTTCCCCTTCTCCTTTGAGAATGTGACTTTTGAAGGGATGCCAGCAAAGAACTGTCCATCCAGTTCTCACCACTTTGGATGAAGTCCTCGAACATCGTAGTCACACTGGCACCACCTTAGTGGCTTAACAGGTCAAACTTGGACACATATATATATATATTATATAGGATAGTGTACAGTTTTTGTACAGGGTTTCAGTTTGGAAGATATGTCATTGCATCTAATGTGTTCCAAGCATTGACATCAACCATCCCAAGCTTTGATCTCGAGATTTCCAAGTTTGAGCCCCAGGTGCGGGTCTCAATTTTACTATTGTGTTCAATCCGGATGCAACCCCAGAAGCACAAGCAGGAAACAGAGTTGGATCCATTTGCTCTGATGCTATATCCTGTCCCCACAACCTCCCAGTTCATCCAAGGAACTGCCCTTCTTGGCGTTGTAAAGCTCAAGGATAGCTGGGGGACAGTTCCTTCCTGTACATGCGGGATTGGCTATACCAGTGTTAGGAGGTCTATATATATATATAGTATTGTTCTTGCATTCTAAAACTAAATGACATATATCGGAGTGTGTGAGTTAGCCAAGATCTGACTGAACACCGACTTTGGACCCCAAGCCTCCAAACGACCTGTTGAAGCGCATCCGTGCATTGTGCGCAAGTCTAGCCAAATGCTGCGACTCATCCTCTTCAACCCCACGGGGGCCAATGAACTTGACCGTCCCATCTGGCTGGAAAATGGCATCTGGATCGTCTTTGTATTGTTCATGCAAGGTTTTTGCCTCCTTTGCCTTGCACAGCTTTGGAACATATATAAACTAAAAAATGGCAACAAACATCCATACATATATATATATATAGTCAACTTGTAGGATGTGTTTGTCTTTCCTCTTCAAAAAACAAATGTTTATATATATACATATATATATATACAGATCCCACCTCCAGTTGAGTTGTATCCATCCTCCCCAATACACCCTCGGCCACATGAGGAAGGTCAGAAAGATCAGCACCATTAGCTACAGCTTCAGGCGGAGCAACCGGCTCAGCAGGTGTTGCCTGTGATCGAATCGAGTGATGGGGGGGGGTTGCTACCCAGCCAAGTCAATGGTTATAATTTTTCACTTGGATTGGCCTGCAAAAAAAGACCCCCACAAGTACGGTTCGACCTGCTTGAAATGCAGGTTTTGAAGGGGGGGGTGCCGGACTTGTGGGGGTCTTTTTTCACAGGCCAATCCAAGTGGAAAATTAGCAGTCAATGGTGT